CCTCTGTGGTCAGTCCTTCAGAGAGTCGGGTGCCCTCACCAGACACCTGAAGGCCCTCACACCCTGCACAGAGAAGATCCGCTTCGTTCAGTACAAGGAGATCTTAGTCAGCAAAGATGGAGCACAGAAAGGTCAGATTTATACAGGAGGAGTTGTGACTTGGAAGAGAGTAAAAAGGGTTTAAAAGTTGTTTCCTGTTTCACTGTCATAGTCCATTGTGTAGTACTGTATTTAAACAAAGATTCAGTATACTGTAGGAAGTGCATATAGTCACAGACTGGCTTGTGTGCATTGAGCAGGTGTCGAGGCTGATCATGCTGCAGTGGCTGGCCAGCAAGAGGTGGTGGTTGTGGAGCAGCAGCCAGAGGAACAGGAGATGGTGGAGGCTCAGACTGCTGTCGTCAGTGTGGTAGAAGCTGGTTCCCAAGAGGTTCTGCATCAGGTCCACTTCACAATGGAGGTGGATGGAACGACGCAGGAGCAACAGGTGAGTGGAGAAAGTGTGTTAAAAAAATTCCTGTGAAGGCTTTTACCGATTAGGCTTTTGTTGTACATTTTCAGATTAACCTCATCCAATCTGTTCTCTTTATCTGTTGTTGACGTGTCCAGGTGGTGGTGGAGCAATCTCAGGCTGAAGCGCTGGCTGCAGCTGCAGCAGCCGGCAACAACCTCATCTGCCAGGCCATCATCAACTCTGGCATTGCACTAGAGACGGAGGAAACAGTAGTTGAGGAGACCTCACAGGAGGAAACTGAGGAGATGGATAAAATGGTCTCTGACTGTCCTGATGTTGATGAGGGGATCACAGAGATCCAGGTTAAAGAAGAGTTTGTGGAGATGGAGACAGAGGTAGGCAACTGTTCATAGTAATAATCCACTTTTGCAGACTATTTTCATAACATTGTTTTTTTTATCAGACCTTCTCCTCTGTTTTATTTCCAGGAAACCGAAGATGGAGACGGTCAGGTGCCAAAATTGTACTCTTGTCCACATTGTAATCGCTCCTTCAAGGGACTAAACTACTTCCGTTTTCATGTCAAGGGCCATTTGGGTACGTCCACAACCTGTATACTTTATTAAACTATCAAACAATCACTTAAAAGAAAGCTGTTGAAGGAACACCGCCTTAATGTTGGTCTAAAAGATCAATATTGTCTCTTTTTGCAGGTTATAAGCCCTTCAAGTGCACACTCTGCCAAAAAGAGTTTCTGACTGGTTACCTGCTGAAGAAACACATGGAAGTCCACGTCAGTGAGAGGAGATATAAATGTGGCGAGTGTGGTAAGCTGTACAAAACTGTTGGACACGTACGTGAGCACATGAGGGCCCACTCGGACGAAAGACCCTACCACTGTGCCAGATGCAGCAAAGGATACAAAACCAAGGTGATTTCAGTGTAAATGACAACTGCTGTTTGTAAATATTAATTGTATTGGATGGAATTGTTTAGCTTTTTCCAAACTCCAACGCACCTTCTTTTTCTTGCTCAGAATGCCCTTCAGGTGCATCAGCGGACTCATGGTGAGGATAAACCCTATGTGTGTCAATTCTGCTTGAGAGGCTTCAGGGAAAAAGGTTCTCTGGTGCGACATATTCGCCATCACACCGGAGAGAAGCCCTTTAAATGCCAAAAGTGTGGGAGGGGTTTTGCTGAGCACGGGACCCTCAATCGTCACATGCGTGCTAAAGGTCAGTGTGATGGATAGAAATCAAAATAAATCTGCCATTGTGTTGTTATTATTTTCAGCAAGTGATATTAGGTGTTAGTGTTAGTGAGCTGGTTTTGATTTCCACCAGGAGGCTGCCATAACGAAGATTCCAGTGAGTCACAGGTCACAGTAACTGAGGAGCAGACGTCAGTCGACAGCCTCGCTACAGCAGCCATCATCTCAGAGGACCCTCACGCTGTCCTGGTGGAGTTCTCCTCTGTGGTGGCAGACACACAGGAGTATATCATCAAGGTGAGAGCCACAGGGATTAGAAGAAAGGGAAAGAATGGTTGCTTCTTATTGAGCGGGAAAAACAGCACAGTCTATGTGCTCAAGCTTTGAAGCATGTTGAAAATCTGTCCACACCCCAATCCTGGTATTGTTTTTTTTTCTAACATTAATTAATAGCAAAATACATATATATACACATCACTGATTGAAGTATAAAACAATTTCACTCTTCTCTTGTTACAGAATTATCACATCTGTGGGGTTTTGAGTTGTTTGCTGTTTGAGAACCAATCACTCAAACAGTTCCTTTGCCAAGTGCAGGGAGTTTTAATGGAAAGTCAAGGGAATAACAGCCTTAGAGAAGGCTAACAAGGCTGGAGAGAGCCACAAACGAGTAAACCACTTATTACCCCTTGGATTAGCGTAATAATAAATAGCTGGTGGAGGCAGTAGCTGACTTTGTAGCAGGCTACAGGGAAGTATTTCACAAAGCTCTCTTTTCTAAAAACAGAAAAAACCTTCACCTGTGAAGTGAAATGGTCAAAAATACATCATTTCACTCTAAAAGTCTGGTCCTGGAGGAAACAATAGGTCCAGGCTTCTAACACTCTATTTTATCATTGAGTAACTGACTGAAATATCTTGCCTTTTGTGATTCATTCAGCAGTATTTTCCAAAAATTTGTGTTTTGCGAAAATTCAGTAAGACATTGCCTTATCGTTCTGAGCTGTTTTTATTTCAAGTTATTAGCATTCAAATGCACATTATCAGTGTTGGGTGCAATGCGTTGCAGCTTTTCTTTAGCTAATGTGATCTGCTCTTCTCGCTCTCCAGACTCAAACGGACGAGGAAGTGCAGGAAGAAGAGGTTACACTCATTCAAGATGGCCAAAATGAGGTCAGTACACATGCGAAGGTGTTAATCTAAGTGTTTTCTTAGGTTCATATAATAACTGTTACATTTATTTAAAATATATAATATATAATTGTTAGTGATATTTGTGTTGTCTTTATAAGTAATGCATCATATTAAACCTCTCCCTGCCAGATGGGAAACCACATTATGAAAGTGGTGCAGCGGATTGTCAACCAGTCCCGCAGCGCCGGCGGCACAGGCAGCCATCAAATCATTGTGCGTAATGTGACGGTGGACGAGGAGGGCCCGACCATCTCCGACTGCGGTGACACCATCACCATCGCTACGCCCGAGAGCCTGACGGAGCAGGTGGCCATGACGCTGGCCTCCGCCATCAGCGACGGCACGCTGCTGGCCACGGCGGAGACTGTGGAGACGGCAGACGGAACAGTTACTATGGTTACCACAGAGGAAGCAGTGGAGGAGGGAATACAAGTGGTGCAGCAGCAGGAGGAATATGTCATCACCACCCCAGAGGAGGTGGAGATTCAAACTGTCATTGTATGATGGAAGAGGACACACACTCTGGACTGTGACAATTTGGCTCCACTGTACCCGAGTAGCAGATTACTGTTCTGTACTGTAGAGCTTCATGTGTGATATTAACACACATGATAACAAAGGCCAAAGTAGATAATATGTTTGTACTTGCAGGAATAGAAAACCCGTAAAGTGAAATGTGTACAATGTGGACTTGTTCTTTCATGTTTGATTTTTGATTGGTTTACTGAAATGAAGCGTTGCATTCAGTCTACTAGCTTATCGAACCTATAAGTGCATACAGTTTCAAAGAATAACTAGTTTATGTGAAGTTTTCACTCTGAATGCCTGAACAGTTTTATATTTAATTATATTTGCTATTACATTAGTACTGTTTCATTTTCTTATACTGCCTAAAATGGCCTGATTTCATTGCAGTTCTCACATCTGCTCTCTGTCGTCAAGGTCGGCTTCAGTTTTTGTAAACTCCACATCTCGTGGAGCCCTCAAAAGGCAGATCGGTCCTAAACTGTGCGTGTGTTCCTGCCTGTCTGAGGACGTTCAGGGACACCATCGATTCCCCATGTTACAGTGTTGCACTTCTAAGATGGTCAATCATGATAATGCATCTTTAAGCATGACAGATATGCCAGTAAACATGTGTTCAGTTTACTCAAGCAGAGTTTGCATCAAATAAATGCTATTTTATTATAAACTTGACTGAAGGTTATCTTTCATAAAACCTTGTTTGTCTGATGTTTCAGGATGTGATTGTTTAGTGCACTAAATAGAACCCAAACCTTATTATCAACACCAACCAAATGCATGTGTCATCAGCCCTTTTCTGTCCTACATTGTGTGTTGAGATTATCAACTACTGTTAGTGATAGTTTTTCTCTGTTGCTGTCTTTAAGTTAATGTCATCTTTATTTTTAGAAGTGTGTGTGTGGCTACAGTGTGAATGTCACCTACCACCTCGTCATGGGAACACCACCTGCTTTGAAAACAAAGAGTCCACTGCTGCAGTTATCTCAGTGTCTCACATATTCCAAGTCTTACTGATGATCTGGCATTAGCATTTTTCATTCCTATGCTAAATTCGCCACAGCTGATTGGCTCTGCTTGAACACTGCTGTACTTGGTGCCTGTAACCTTGAGCATATGTGCAGGTTACATCTCTGAAACCAGTGCTCCACCACTGAGGTTAACACAGACGCTATAATCAGAGAAGTGTCCCTGGCTGGTACAACACACAGTTTCTGGGTCACTCTTCAGCCCACAGAGAGGGCCCCCATCCACATGAGCGACAGAGGGAGACAGAGAGAGAGAGAGGGCGGGAGAGAGAGAGAAAGGGAAAGGTATTTATAGAGAAATGGGGCTTTGCAGTACCTTTTCTTGCAAAGAACCATTTCAGGACCAAGTGAGAGTGTCCCAGTTTTCTGATCATCGCTCTGCCATAGGGCTTGGACTGAGGCTGAGGCTGGACTGCCTCATCCAGGATGGAGAGCCTGATTTTCAGATGCTCTCCCCTCTCTGGCCTCCCTGTGCTCAACAACAGAGCCTTGGTTCTCTGATTGAGAACAGAGGAAGGTATTGGCCTGTATAACCTACAGATGTGACCTTTCGGGTATCCTTGATTTGCCAAGCTGGGTAGAAGCTTTTGGAGGCGGTGAGCTCAGGTGAGGAGCAGCACAAGAGTGTCCGAGGGCACTCTTTGGCTGCGTGGACCCCCAGGACGGGGGTGAAAGGAGGCTGGCTGGAACGTGCCCTGCCGCAAGCCGGGCAAGGATGAGGCGCTTCCTGAGCAGAAAGGGCCGCTTCTCCCTGCGCCAGAGCAAGTCCGGGACCCGAAGTGCCTCCAAAGATTTCTGTAAGTCTTTTTTCTCGCAATCATAATTTTTACATGACGTTCCTGAACTGCTGGAGGGTGGCTGAGACTGTGTATCTAGGGCGCTGGAGAGAACAGGACAAAAGGAATGCTTGACAATCCTCTGAGTGCAGCTTGTGTTCTGTCGGGGAGGAAAGACTATGATCCGCAACTCCGTGACTGTGATTTCCCAAAGTATTTTAGATCAATAATCGGCTACAGTTTGATGCTTCCTCTCATTAGTCTGAAGCAAAGTTCTGCGCCTCTTTGAGCCTTTGGGTTTGATTTGATGTATTCACTCAGCCACAGCCCTCCCTGAATATTCAGGTCTGTGCTCCAGGAAGATCTGATTAGTCTTTTTCTGCATTGAAGCTGATCTGACACTTCTTGGCAAAGACCTTTATTCTCTCACTTCTTGTGCACTTTTTTGTTTCTCTTATTTCTGAACTACTTTTGTTTGTATCACTCTTCCCGTCTCCATCTTTCTCGGCCTCCTATCAGTTACAAGAAGAAAATGACTTGAATAGTTCTCATGGTTTGATAAACAACTTTATACAATTACTTCTTTCTTCTTTAATCCTACAAGGTCAAGGTTTCTCTTTTAGTTTTAAATTCTGGGGGTCATGTCATCATATAACAAGAGGTAATTAAGATAATTATCATTGGGAGTAGTAGTGCAGCCTCGACTTGAGATTGTTTTTTATTTAATTATAGTTCAGGTATTTACAACCTAAGCTTTTATTAGTCTCAAATATATATATATAAACGTGCAAGATGTAACAAGCATAATCACAGCTCAAAGCTCAAAATTTAAATTAGATTTATCAGTTTATGATCTGGATTATGGAGCAAGGTTGCAACGTTTGGTGAGAGATTATCAACAGAAACCATCACAAAGACTGATCCCAGTAATGTCCTACATATTTCTACTGTATATATATGTTTGATGATCCAGGCTGTAGAGGAGATAGAATTAAATGGGCCAGTTGGGACTCTTCCTGCTGCAGTAGAATGAGGCCAGTGACCAGGGGAAGGGCAGCAGTTCAACATGTGGGCTTGAAATCAACAGTCAAAAATAACCTTCAGAAATTTTTTCTTTCTCTTTAATTGTCATTCAACTTATGGAAAACAAACCTGTCAATCTGAAAAAAAAAAAAAATTCAGACTCTTCTGTGTCTTTTTGTTTGTGACCTCATTAAATAGACCAGTGCACTTGCTGTGACAACTCGGCAGGCCCATCACTGAGGTGCCCTATTTAAACCAATGGACATTCTGACCTCCATTTTAGTCACAACCTGTTCCTCTCTATGAGCTGCATGCTCCAGATAAGCAGTTGATATGACTCCAGCATTAAAAAGAGCCTGGTTGCTGATTTCTTTGCCTTAATGAAAGAACACTACCTTCTGTAAACTGAGATACTGACCTGCTGCCTTTTGAAGCTGGACTGTTTTACTAACACCTTCCAAAAACATGCCGATTAGTGTCTGTCTATTTGAACCTCTCTGAGTTTAATCTTTCCATCCATCCTCCAGACCTCGGTCTCCCCGCCACCAATCAGAACTGGCCAGAGGCGTTTGGTTTCAGGCTGGGTGGCACTGGGCCCAGCTACATTCTCTCTGTGGTGGAGGGCAGCAGTGCCTACCTGGCTGGCCTACAGCCCGGCGACCAGGTGGTGGACATTGAGGGCCAGGATGTGACCAACCTCAGCACACCGGCACTAATAGCCCTGGCTCAGACCCTCAAGACTGTCCCACCCAGCATCGGAGTGGTGTCACGGCTTGAACAGGTCAGCTGACACACAATAATCTGCATTTTGCAGATTTTTAAAAACTGAAATTCCAATGCCATGCTCTTTCCCTTCTTTAGATCGACATCACCCCTGGCCCTGATGGCCGTTTTGGATTCACCATCGTTGGAGACAGCCCTCTGATGGTGGAGGACTGCATGCCCAGTGGTCCGGCCGGTCGCAGTGGCCTGAAGGCCGGGGACTACGTCATGGAGGTCAACGGCATCCCAGTGAAGCATCACGAAACGGCGGCGGCCATGATCAAAGCAGCTCAGGGTCGGCCTCTGCGTCTGGGCGTGCTCAGTATGGCCCGGCGACCAAAGCGGTTAAGCAGCAGCATGAGGGTGTTGTCACAGAGCGGGGACAGCATCAGGGACAGTCGCGCCCACAAGGCCATGGAGTTCAATAAGAAGGTGGCTGTGAAATACATGTTTGCATCTCAGAGGAATACATGCTGTTGTAATTGTGTGTATTAATGAATGTATTTATCCATTAGGTGGAAGAAGTGCTGGGGGAAGAGCCAGATGTGAAGGAACAGCTGTTTGAGGTGCTGAAGCAGTACGCTGCCGAGAGGGATGTGGAGAGTCTTGCTGAGGCGCTGCCTGACATCCTGATCACAGAGGAGCATCAGCAGCTGATCGACAGCGTCAGGTAGCTGCTCAGTTGTATGTGTGCACTTACAGGCTTACTCACAGGCTATGCGTCTTGTTGTGAGGTTGCATGCACAGCTTTTCATGACTAACAGTCTTAAGCACCACACACGGGCTGATTTAAGTGGCTTTGTCAGGTACAAGGGAATTTCATATAACCGAAAACCCTCTACACTCTGCAGTCCTCGAAAACCCACTGTGTGACAAAGTTCTGCAGCAGTGGCGGCTTTACATCTGGATTACACTGCAACACATTCATGTTGTGTTGAGCACTGCTGTTTCCAGTCTTATCTCTGAAAGGGTCAATTCTATATACACTTAAGAGTTCAGTGTTGCAACTGAGGGTTACAAGTCCTTTCATGCATTGTTGAGGAGTATCTCTGATGCCAATGTATGAAGACTCCTTGTATTTCTAAATTTAGTTTGGATTGTAGATTGTTACATGAGTGGTCCTCAACCCTTTTGTAAATTACTTCTTGATTTCTGCAGCACTTGACTATAAAACTAAAATAGCCCTCAGTGGAGCACAGGCCTCTCCCAAAGCCCAGTCCCCTATGAACGCACATTTAAATTCTCCAGATCTCAGATTTTTATTTGGATCTGCACCAAATTGCACACACTCATAAGTACCAGTTCCCTAAGCATGTCTGATTTTTTTTCATCAAGGTCCACAAATGATTCTCTGGGAGATCAAAAAAAATTGTTGAAAAACTCACAATGTCCAGGAGCTGCTCCAAAATTTGAATGGGTTCTTCCTTGGGTCATGCCCCACCCCTCCACACAATGTCATGGAAATCCGTTGAGAAGCTCCCTGCTACATATTTCAACTAATCCAAAATATGTGTCTAGATCAATTATCAACATCTTCTGAAATACAGAAAATGTCTCTAAATTCTCTTCAGTCTAATGACGTGAAATCTCCCACTCATAGTTGTGTCTTTGTTGTGTGTTTTCAATCATTTCCTCTCCCAGTCTTTAGTTTTTGAGAAAGCTTGTAAAAGTGCACAAGGGAGAGTTTATGTCCGTTGTGTGGTACATTATATTCAGATTCACTGTACAGCACATTCTCACATAACAAAAGGGCCAGAGAGGGATTTCAAACTCCTTAATTGCCCTTTGAAATCAGTATTTTAGAAACTCCCCCTCAGCAGTTTACTGTGAAATATGGGGAGTGTTATCCTCAGGTGCTTAAATGTCACTTTGTCCTATTTCTCCCCTCTTAGGAACAGCACGAGGGCACGGTGAGAAAATCACTGCTCAATATAGCATTTCTCCCGACTCAGCATTGATCAGGAAATCAGAACCGAAAACACAATACTTCTGCACGCATTCGCAAATTATTTTTGTCAGCCCCCCCCCTCCTCCCTTCTGTCACTTGCTCTCTCTTTGACTTTCTCTCTGTTGGTCCCTCTCTCTCCCAGCTCTCCCTGTCAGCTATGATGCACTCTTTGATATATGCACCGTTTTCTTTTTTTGTGGATCTCATCACTGGATGCTCTTTATCCCCTCCTCTGCATACAGCTCCTAGCCAGTTTGCAGCTGGTGCTTTAGAGAACACAACAACATGCAGATCCTCACACTGCATGTCTCTCACACACACATACACATGGTCCCTACTCTGAAGTTTGGTGGTGGAAGAAATTATGCTCTGCTGCCTCAGGTGAGTACTGAAAATCAATTTTAAAAAACATTGTGCATTTGCAGATTTTGCAGCGAGCAGTGAACGAGTTTGGTGTCCAAGCGTCTTACGTCGCCGCCCATGAATGGTCATGAAAAGAGCAGAGGTGCAGTTAAAGTATGCTGTAAGAGCAGTCGTTTTACTGTCAATTAGTGTTCAGCCTCTTTAGTGACTCATTTTCGTTGAGTAATCTGTTCTTCTTCCAGCCGTTGTCCAGCCGCCTCAGTCTTCATCACAGCTCTGATTTCCTTTCTTAGAAAGCTGCCTGTGAAAATGCTTCGGAATATTTGTCTTGCACAGCAGTGACATTAATTATGCATCTGCTGTTTCCACAGAGGCCTGATGACTGTTGTAGTTGTTTTCCTCACATCCAGGCAGCGAGGAACTGTCAAGTAAGAGTCTGAGTGTTCATAGAAATCTACTGTCACTTCAGACAGCTGTAGTTACCCATAATTCCATCCTGCTATGTAAAGTTCAGGTGTTCTTTGACATTGAAAGGCGTTAATATGCTAAATATTCCCTCTTTTCTTTATGTCTCTTGGTGCAGTGTTTTGTGCACTCTCTTGGAAAAGGCATATAAGGTTTATCGGAATATTATCTATGTTTTACATTTTGAATAGCTGGTAATGTTTTCAGCAGAATCTTATGATCACATTTCTGTGGTAGTATAATTGTGGGGTTTTGTTCACGAGCGATGGGAGGTGTTGTGCAAATGGCTGCTGTTCACAATGAGAAATAATCTAATGTGGACTCACTCTTTGCCATGAAACCACCATGAGGGTGTCATATGTGGTTGTAAATGAGATATCTGGACAACTGTTGGATTGTTACATCCACCAAGGAGGTTTATTGTTGGTTGGTTTGTTTGGAAGAAGGAAAAAACTACTGGAAGGATTACCATCAAACTTTGAGAGTTTTGACACTTTCACAGATTTCCTGGGGAATAATTCATGGATCTTGATGAGAAAACATATTTAGACGACTTATATGTGTGAAATTTAGTTTGAGGCGTGGAGATCCAATGTGTCTGGAGCTGGTGCCCCAACCTGTCAGTCTCTCTGCTTCTGCCTCAATCATTGTCACACACTCCACCACCCACCCCCACCCAAGACCAGTTCTTGGTGGGTTGTGTAAGAGGATGTGTGCTTAACATAAGTTCTATCTTCTGTAACTCCTGTAAAACTTGACCAGTCGCTCCGCTCCGTCTGCCACTGTCCCCTCGTCGATTCGCCTCGCCCTCCCATGGGATGTGTTCTATTTTTATGCAGCCTATTTCTTTTAATAAATTCTCTCTTAGGTTTCTGACGCACTTGCCAGTGTTGTTTCTTTAAATGGATCCAAAAACCCAGGGGTTAGCTTTAGCGAGTGCTTTAACACTTGGAATTCAGGCAGAAGATTATGTATCCAGAGAGTCATTAGAGACAATCTCGGAACAACTGTTAGCTCTTTAGTTCGTGCTGTTCTGTCGTGTTGTTGTAACTGAATTTAATTACAGCCTTTGTGTATCTGTATATAGACTTCAAAGCTGTGAATTCATTAGATGATGCATTCTCTACCCAGGGTTTGGGATGCAGTGCATTTTTTCTTTAGTTTTCCTCAATGTTTGACGTGTTTCTGTGATTAGTGAGGATTGGTGAGGATGTTCTGGGCTCAAGGTATTTACAGAGATTAGGATCAATGTTCATATCAGTCAATAATGATTATAATCAGGATAACTGTCACATTATTAATTATTGATATTGTTTTATTGCTCAGCCCTACATGTAGAGATAAATGTTGTGTTGTGCTGAGTATATGTCATCCATGCAGACATGACTGTAAAGGTTTTTGTACATTCACTTACTCAAATAAGTGGTTCTACACACACACACACACACACACACACACACACACACACACACACACACACACACACACACACACACACACACAGTCATTATTCTGACCTGCCTATGAAATTCCACCGGGGCTCTCCTCTCTTCTCAGATTCTCTCCTCCTCTCTCCCTCCTCACTTTTTCCTCTGTTCCTCTCATTCCTTCCTCCTTCCTCCACTGAGGGAAGAGATGATTTGTCACTCACTTCCTCTCTCTGTCAAGTGATGGATGACTCAAGTGATGAGGATTGTCCCGTAGCTGCGCCTGAGAAGACCACCCTGTGGTGACCTGGCTCCATTGGTACCTGAAAGAGAGGAAACAACATGGGGACAAGAGTAGAGTGCTGTCCCAAACACGAAGTTGGAGAACAGCTGAGGATGCTGCCTGAGGATGTTTTGGAGGTGTGGAGGGATTTTTACTCTTTGCTCCCTCCCTCTCTCTTATTCTCTCTCTTTCTTCATCTGGCTGTTTTCTGAGTCTGCAGTGAGCTCTTTTGGGATCCAAGACGCCTTCTTCTTCTTCCATCTTTCTCCTCTTCTCCCTTTGTCCTGAGGAGTTTGCTTGTTCAGGCTAGATGGGGACTCACCGAAATTGAGGGGAGCAATTGCATTGCTTAACTGAACACGGGCACTTCCTCAAAGCCCCCAAAGAGCCATGGGAAGGGACAGGAGCCTTTCCAGACACTTTCGGTATGGCCATTCTATTTTGCTTTTGTGTCGTTTTTGCTGACTTGTATCTGAAGTTGCTGGAGTATTGTCATGCGACCGTTCTGTGTGTTTGCTATCCAGGCTTGTATTTACAATTATTCTGCCAGCATGTGAAAAATATGAAAATCTGTGCATTCTCTATATTTGAAACACGATGAGAAAAACTGTAGAATCCAGCAAGAGTCAGCTCTGATTCTACTTTTTTGTTTGGTTCTTGTTTCTGAGACAGTTTATTTCAATGCCTGCAAATTCATGCTTGGCCCTGCTGTCACATTGTCTGATCAGAAGTGGGTCTGATGGTTTGCCAGCTGATTGCGGTTGTCATTCATCTGTCTGCGCGCCATGTCCTCGATCCACCCCTCCCTCCGACCTAATTATAGGCTCCTCTCGCCCTCCTTATAATTGAGGGCATCCCGAGGCCTACATCCAACTTCAGTGGAGGTGGCTGTGAAGTTCTGCTTACTTGTTTTTGGTTGGGTTACAAGATTTGACAAAGGAAATGTTCTTTTGCTTCAATCACAACATGACAGAGCAGCGATGACAAACTCTGAGAGCTGTTGGTGATGAGCAGAGCCGAAGTCAATAGTTGATCAAATGAAATGGAGTCTGCTGTAAAACAATAAATGGCCCCGTTCTTTTTCGTTTTCCCTATCCACCATTTGTCCGAGTCACTGTGGTGATGTATGAATGTTGTTTGGGAAAGTTCTGTGTCCTACATAGCGTACGTAGCGCAGAATACCCAGCTTCATTCCCAGTAGTTTCATGACCCTGGCCTAGAAAGAGCTCTAGTTCTCCACTCCTTCTCTCTGTGGCTCTGTCATATTTTACCACTTATATCCTCTTATTGGCTGTTTATGCGATTCTTCAAATCATTCCATTGATTCCTCCTCTGTTGTACTGCCTTTCAACAACTTCTATCTCTTTTTCATCCTTTTCTCCACTGGTTTTTTTGCCATGTTAAGAGTCTCTCACTACTTCTCTGCTTGCAATAGAAAGCTGACCCTCGAGATACCACCACAGAGCAGCTTGGCGTCACAGATGAGCACGTTGTAGCCCTCGGGTGAAGTTTTGCCTTTGAACACAACCTGCACTTAATCACTGTCACCTACTCTACTTCCCTTAGCTTTGGTTTTAAGGATGTAAGCACATAAATCTGAACCCACAGAGAAGATTATCACTTCAGTAATGAGAACACTGGTTGATCGGGGTTCTACCAACTCATTTTCCGCACATGCACCAACACGCCACTCCTCATCATCAATAGTTTTAAGAGACAGTGAATCAAGGTGAGTGATCAGTTCTTGGTTTTCACCTTGGCACAAAACACTCATACGCTTATGCAGTTGTAAAATATGGATTTATGTATGTTAACAATACGCTCTCTGTAAGTGTGCTTATAGGACAGAGAAATGTATGACTGTGTATTATCAATGCAATAACATTGATGCTTTGCTTCTTCACACCCCCAATACACATTCCTTCAAATAATAGTCTTGTGGCTGCAGAGCTAGGATCAGTCTGTTTCGATGCTGTGGTGTAAATAATTTACTTTACTTCCTGTTTGTTTTCTTTAAAGAGGTAGAGAGGACATTGGTCTGAAGTTAGATGTTGAGGGCTTAACAAGACTTTATTACCATATTTTTAAAGGAATTTATTTCTTGCATTAGATAACGTACATTTACGTGATGCTCACATTACTGCCATCACATGGCTTATTTGTTAAGCAGCCTGTTATCATTGGAAGATTATTGTGGCTTGTGATGCAAGCAGTGCCTCCACAGCTGGGTTAACTCACAGAAAACAGGTATTAATCATTTAACACACACACACACACACACACACACAGTGATTTGGCAGTTTGCTCAGGATTCCCATCATGTGACTGAGACATGTGTTTACTTACTCCTGTGATGTCAAGTTGAAAAGTTGTGGGAAGGGTTTCAAAAGCTTTCCTGCACTCTGACAAGGTGGTAGACCAGGAGAGACTGTGGCAGGGGCAGCCTACTACTACTACTACTTATAATAATGAGAATAATAATAATAAACACATGAAGAATTAAAATAGAGCCAAACTTTAAAATCATATTAGCAGACAAAGATGCCTCTCAATACAACATATGTAAGCACAAGAGTGTCTAGAAGTAAAACTAAAGGTTAAAATCGTGTTAGTCAGGGATCGATCAAATGTCACACATGGTAGACTGAGCTAAACAGACGTGTTTTGAGTTCTTTGAACAGTGTGATGTGGCAGAGAGTTTCAGAGTCGTATGTGACTCTAGCTGCAGTGTTGTTCACAAATGATGACTGTATTGAATTCAATATATTTATTTATCAATAACACCTTAGAAAACACTTAGTTTTAATTGGTTACGAGTGATTTAACTTGGATTTACAGCCTGAGAATCCATGACCTGATTTAAAAAAACTGGACTGGATCAAAATGAGGTTGCCTAGTATAGCTGTAATTACGGGCATGCTTTTTGGTGTGTGTGCGTGTGTGTTCCAAACCACGAACTGCATCTCTGAGCCTTATTCTCAACTGTGGCATTTGAATAAGGAGCTGTGCTGCGTGTGTGTGGATGAACATTGGAAATTTTGCTTAATAAAAAAAAAAAACAAAGCACTCATTTCTCCAATGCACAGCAGAGGAACCCTGGAGATTCATATTGAAGACGAAACGATAGAGAGAGGCTTATGTTGAGGATGGAGGCAGCATCATTTTGTGGGTGGGATGGGGAGGCAGATATGCAAAAGACAGAAGTGATAAATGAGGTGTGTGTGTGTGTACGTGCATGGAGGTTTGCTCAGTTATCTTTGTGCAGTTATCTGCAGATTAAGGAAACAGAATCAGGGAGACTTCAGACATCCTATATTTAAAGGAAACATAAAATAAAACACTTCCAAAACACAGTTATCGGCAATGTTTCTTCCTTTCTGGGTCATTTCTGTTGTTGTGTTTTGTTATTTTCTTGTTCTCGCAGATAATTGGCCAAAAATAAATTGCATGTAGCGCAGCTACAAGGGAGCTTGATGGGAGCAGACATTGCGAGCAGTCTTAAACATCAGTGGTGAATGACAGGTTTGACTGATCTGGGAAACAAAGAGCTTCTTCACAATTTTGTGTTGATGCTGAAAACAACAAAAGAAAAAAATCTGTCACAGAAGAGGCAACGATACCAATTTTGCCACCAAGCCTCAGGCAGCTTGAAACACAAGCCTTCTCTGATAAGTTTTCACTTAGCCACCACTGCTTTTACTTTTAATGACTGGACGCTTTCTTATAATCATCACACAAAGCAGACTAGAGGAGAGAGAGCGTGCCAGGCTTACAAATTCTCCCCTGAAATGAAAACCACATCAAACTCAGCAGTATCTGAGGGTGGGAGAAAGGGAAAAGGCATTGGGAGCTGATGATGGGAGGAGAAAGTAACACTTATAGAGGGAGTGGAGCGATTTCTCCCAGAGGTGGCTCCGACACTGTTCTTCCTCCTCTTTGCGTATTAGCTGTGGGCTGTCACTGATGCTGAACACTCTTACCTGCAGCTGCTAATGTGACGGGACCACACACCAAAGCTCATCCTTTATCTCTTTCATTCTCTCTCTCTCTCTCTCTCTCTCTCTCACACACACACACACACACACACACGCACACCATATCTATAGTGTTGGACCAGTTTCTTCTACATGCCACGGCCCTCCCATGAGAGGATATGGGCTGAACTATTTTTGAACCAATTAAGTGGATCCTCTGCTGGAACAATATGTATTCAGAACAAGAATCCATGTTTTTTTCTAACAAGAAGAGTCATGGATTTTGTGGCTGAGATGTTTCTTTTCATGTGATTTTGTTTTGTCGCTGTGCAGAAAACTAAAAATGCTCTTCTCACTGACTGAGCTGAGCGGGATGCTGCTGCACATCTGTTCTCCTTACTCAATCTGACTCTGATTCCACAATGTTTGTCAGGATCTTCATTCCCAAGAAGCACCGGGAGCGTTTTGACGAAGTGGTTTCCCAGAGCCTGATGAGCCGGCTTAAGGGGCGGAGCTTCAGTGACCCCAGCCGCAACCGCCTTCGCCGCAGCCGGAGCGAGGATCACCCTGAGCGCCTCCTGGTTTCCACCCGCGCCAGCTCAGTGCCACGCACCCACGCAGAGGAAGGCGTGATCCAACCAACCAGGGGCATGAGGAAGACCACCTCCCTCATAGCCGGCCACTCCAGTGGCAGCACCACTAACTGCAGGTGTGTATGTTGCAGCCCCACAAAGTACTGTGGGATCTTGAATTTTTAAATGACAGCTTTTTCTCTACTCATCCTTTCAGTGTGTTTCAATCAGTAGGAGTCACATCTTTCATTTCAGCAACACTAGTCATAGGTCTGGGCGATAAAACAATAACATAAATGATCACAATATAATTTTCATCTATAGCAATATAACAAAAGTCCAATATACTGTATATATTATTTGATGCTTATGCAATGTGCGGAGGAGGTTAAACACATAATCGATCTTCCTCAGATTTGTAAAGTGTCATTCTTTGGCCATAAAGAAGAGTTTAAACCAACAACCTTCACACAGGGGCAACCATCAGTCTTAAAACATAATGTGACAATTATCCTGATAATTATCATATTATTATTATTATTGATTGATGTTTTATCTTTGTTTTAATCTTGATGTAGTCTTTGCCCGTATCGCCCAGTCCTAACTAGATGTGTCAGTTTTCCTGAAATAACTGCTGTGACATGTCTTTCTGTGTCAGGAATTTATGCCAACGGAGATGTGTAGGAGGGAGCTGAAAAACAGACCCACCGGTGGTGAAGCCTAAATCTATATAAAGCATAAACCTATTTGGACGAGTCATGCCTGACCTCCTCCTTACTGTCTTGACGTGTCTTTATGAAATCTTGTCAGTTTCATCTCCTGCTCAGATCCTGCTCACATTCATCTGGAGTTTAAATTATTCAAAATGTATAAACAACACGATTAAAAACATCCTATCACCATCCGTTTAAACAGTTGGAATAAACTTCCCCAGGAATCTGCTTATCTCTGCAGTGGCCCTAGTCTTTGAAGATGTTGTACAGCTCCCCGGGGACGTATTGTCCATATTTAAGCAGACTCTGTCATGCAGGATGTGAATTTGATGTAGTCTGCTGAATATGGCAGTATGTTGGAGGTCCACAGTGTCAGTCCACAATAATAAATAGACCCCCTTTACTAAAATACACTTTGGGTACACTTAGTACACTCTAGCAGGGTTTCTATGGTAACTTGTTATTTCACGACCTTAGTCATATGCTAGCCATATAAAGTACTTGTAAATACCAGCTTTTCGATGACTGATTCCTGTTAATCAATCTTTCTCTGTCTCTTCAGGACGGTGAGAGTGTGCAAAGGCAACATGAGTTTTGGCTTCACTCTTAGAGGTCATGCGCCAGTGTGGATTGATTCCGTCATCCCTGGTACGTTTCAAATTTGTGTCTGTGCAAATGTAAGGGTGCCAGCTGCAGTTCCAGTACTTTTACATGTAATAGTCAAGTAACTCTGTTGTTAACAGGTTTAAGGGGATTTTGCAATATCTTTACAAAAAGCTTGACTTTTCCCTCATCTTCGCTTTTCCTTGGTCAAATCAGATGTCGCTAAAATTTTCTGTTCTGCAGGAAGCCCAGCAGACAAGGCAGGTCTGAAACCAGGAGACCGCATCATGTTTCTCAACGGGCTGGACATGAGGTTGAGCTCTCACACACATTCACTTTTTTGCAGAAAACAATGCATTTACTAAAGCAATTCTAAGTCAGTAGGAAAGAGTTAAAATTGCCAGTAAACATGAATATAGTACAGTTTCACACACAGTACTTGGGGACAGTAGACCTATCATTTCAATGGATAATGTATAGTAAGAAAGTTCTCCAGAGAATGTGAATGTGTTTTTTCTCCAGTAAACCTAATCTCTTGTGCATAATACAGAAGTTTTTAAATAATAGGCTTCCATCCAGTGTATGTGTGCATGTGTCTGTAGGACCTCCTCCCACGAGAAGGTGGTGTCCATGCTGCAGGGCAGTGGTGCCATGCCCACTCTGGTAGTGGAGGACGGTCCGGCCACTTTCGCCCTGTCAGAGCAGGACCTCGCAGGAGGTGGTGTTCCATCAGAACGTGCCCGCTCCCCTGTGCTCAGCTCCCTGCAGTGGGTGGCGGAGATTCTGCCTCCCAGTATCAGGGTCCAGGGCCGCACATTCGGTCAGCAGCTGGAGCACCTGCTGACCATCCAGGAGAGGTACACCATCTGCAAGGCTTTGGAGAACTTCTTCCAGCACAGGTGAGCAATGATGTGGGAAGACTACTGGGACAGTAGAAGGAAGGAAAGATGGGAGGAAAAGAAAATCCGAGGGTGAATATAAAGTCAGAGGAATAACTCAACTGTTGATACTTTGCAGTGCAAGTTGAATTGTACCACAATTGGCTGTGTAGACATTTCATGTTGACAGTGCAATTAGGGTTAGGGTAATGCAACCATGAGCAGCAATGTCCAAGTGTAACAAAATTGATAAAACAGGCCTTTTTTAAACCTCTAACCTAAGCAGAAATTACCATGACAGTTGGTCAGGGTTATTTTTTTATCAGTTCTCTCCGCATAGTGTAGCTTCTCTTTTCACTTTTGTTGTCCACATGAGTGGACAGCCAGTAGATCACTGTCACCTTGTCTGTGTTTCCTTGGCAACAGGAATGTTGACACTCTGATCGTGGATGTGTTCCCGGTGCTGGATACTCCAGCCAAACAGGTGATCTGGCAGTTTGTTTACCAGCTGCTGACATACGAGGAGCAGGAACACTGCCAGAGCAAGATCTCACGCTTTCTTGGATTCAAAGCGCCAGGTGTGTGCGCACATATCCACATTGTTAGATGTGGCTATTATATTTATATTTCATGAAGTTTTATTTGTGTACACCACGTGGAGTTTGTGCGGGAGATTGTCCCACACGCTGGGATCTTTAATAAAACTCAGGTGCTGCAACATTTTTGCCTCTTCCTCTACACTGCCAATGTGTGTGTGTGTGTGTGTGTGTGTGTGTGTGTGTTTTCCAGTTCCACCACCACCACCTCCCCTTCCTCCTGAGCCCGAGGCTGCTCACGAGCCCCATCGCCGCAGCAGCTCCATGAGAGTAACGGGGACCACGTACAGGAGCAGTGTGAGGGGACGTAGTTCTGACGACCTGGTCATTGGCACACACTTGGGCCTGGGTACAGATCTTCATATCCTCATTGCTTTGATCAGACGCAGCACTAACCATGACACCTTTGATTCTCCTCGGCATCCTCACTATTTATATCATTATCACTCAAATTATCTTCAACATTATCATAAATACTTTTACATCACCAGTGTGGCAGATATTATCTCATACTGTATATTTTCACAGTATACTGTGAAAATCTGCTGCCTGCAGTCACTGGCCCAAATCTGACTTGAGTTCATTTAAACTGAGCTGATTCTTATCCCAGATCAGCTGAATCCTGCACAGTAAAACCCCCACAAAGCCTTGGAAGTCATTCTAATGAGTGTATTACCACAGGCCTCCGTGCAGAGCCAGTGCTGGAGACAGGGATGAGGTTGGCTCCAGGAGAGAGACAGTCAGGTGATGGTACCTCCCTCCCTGAGACTCCTAACAACCTCACCAATGTAAGAATCACCTGTCTCGATGCTGGAAAGATATAATAAAGATAAAATTAGGTTTCATATTCATTAGGACAAGAGGTCTTACTCTGGTCTCTCTGTGCGTTTCCACCCTACCAGCTGTCGGCAGTGTACGCTGAGCTGGAGAACATGTATTCATCCAAGAGGTCCAAGTCTCTAAAGAGCCGCCCTCCTCCCGCCCCAGAGAGTTTGCTGGATCTGGAACCTCCTTCGCGCTCAGCTTCCCCCACAATGCTCGCTAACACAGGTGCCCAAAAGTATACAATCTTACAGCAGCTATACTGTATTGTGACTATTGCCTGCATCAGCGAGTGTGTGCATGTGTTTAGTGGAATGATGTTAGAGAAGGAGGATCTTAAAAAATGCTGCAGAGCAAGAATTTGGAATCCCAAGGTAACCAACCTAATTCTGACTCAACTGCACATCCTTGGATTTTACACAGACAGCCATCTTTGAGGTTTCTCTACATATGTAAATATACAGCAGAGGAGTCTTCTTCAGTGTTTTTCAGCCTGGCTTTTAATAGATTTAGATTATTTTAAATGTGGCCAGAAAAAGAGAGCAGGGTCAGAGCTGGCATCAGTTACAGGGAGAGAAATGGTTGGGGGGGTTACTTTAAACAAATTGGCATCTTTTTCTGGATTTGGTCTGTTCATCGCTTCTCCTCCTACAAGTCGGACCCTCAGCCCCAGGGGTGCTCTCAGATTTCACTTTGAGGTACAAGGTGGGCCTGAATACTCTCATAAGGAGGATATGATGATGGTGGAAGTGGAACTAGAAAACACACCAGACCCCATCTACAACGTAAATCTAAAATATGTTTTTTTTTTGAAGGGGGACATGTTCTGATTACGTTTTGTGAAGTATCTAAAAGTGTCAATGACAGAAAGCCTTGTTATTCATTTGGTCTATTAATTTAAAGTACATAGACGTTTCAATGTGTGAGGCATTGCACCTAACATGATGCTTCAGATGTATATCTGTCATTAATATAATTGTTTGTATCCTCCTTCTCTCAGGTAGCCGTAAAGGTCCCCCGCCACCTACATCCTGGCAGGAACCTCTCCCTAGCCCCCCTCAGGCTCAGTTCTACTCATCTGGGCTGCCCAGCCAGACCAGCGGGGAGTCCAATCCCTACATCAGCTTGGACAGTCCCCCACCTTCACCCCCAGAGACGGCTGACTACCCATCCAGTCCACCACCCCTTCGCAGTAGCAAGCGGCGCTACACCTTCTCCAAACCACCGCGTTCAGAAGACACAGATCGCTTCCTGGATGCACTGAGTGAGCAGCTGGGACAGAGGGTGGCCATCATCGACGACTTCCTGAGTCCTGAGAACGACTATGAGGAGGTGGGGTCACATAAATGCTGCACTTTAAAGTCTCTGTCTGAAGCTGTTTTAAGAATGTATTGGCTAGTAATATAAAATCCTTTAATTCTTATTCAGTTATCAAGTTTAATGTGTTTATTTTTTATTTGAAATTAAATGAAAATTAGTGGAACTGAAATTTAGGAAATCTTTTGTCATTCTACTTAAACACTCAATAAAGTCCCAAGCAAGCTCATTGAGTTGAGTAAACCCCATTATGCCATAGGTCCTGCTAATATGGGCTTAATTCCCCCATGGTACACTGACTCCCTGCAGTGCCCTAATGTTTGCCTTGAATCCACAGTTAAAATAGGACAGATCCCATGACACTTACACATACAAAGAATGGGTTTAGAACATATTTTCTGTACCCTCTGGGCTGACATCTGTCGTGGGTCATCCGCTCATACATGGACAGCTGTAAGAACAGATGTGAATGCCCCCAAGAGGCATTGAGGATGCATGTGAGATCTCATCACTCAGACCACTTCACCCCTTATGATAGTAAACCTAAGCAATTGCAACCTACGTTTTTATTTGGGTTTTGCAGGTAAATAGAACCAGAAGATCCTGTAGAACCAGACTACTTTTATTTGGCACCAATGTCACATGATCTATTCATTTGCCAATATGATGATAAGTTCGATTTGGAAAGGAATGGGCTAATTAAGTGTGATTGGTGTTAATGCCAGGATGTTGTGCAGATGGGTTTCCCAGATGATGAGGATGAGGATAACGAAGAGGAGCTGGGAGTGGATGAAGAAGAAAGTGGAGGATTTGTGGCCCCAGAGCTGAGCAGCCCGAGTGACGTTCAAAGCAGCAGTGGAGAAGAAAATGCCTCCTCTCTCACCTACTCCTCATCCTCTGACCACATCCCTCCTCCCCCCATGACCCCTCCTCCACCTCCACCTGTTCAGTTCAATGACCTGCCTCCTCCCCCTCCAGCACCTGCACAGCCTCAGCACCAACAACAACAGCAGCAGCAGCAGCAGCAGCAGCAGCTTAACTTCACCCCTGAACACTCCCCAAGAGCATATGTGCCCATTCGCCGGAAATCTGGACCACCTCCACCTCCTCCTCCCCGCAGTAATCCACCAGCGAAGCGGCTCTCTCTCCATAAAGCACTACCCACAAGAGAGGACTTTCAGGTACATGCTACCATACTAGAGCTAAAAGCCTACCAAGAACAACAAGCTTACCAGGAAAGACAAGCCTATGAGGAGCAACAAGCATACAAGGAGAGGCAGGCATATGAGGAGCAGAAAGCCTATGAGGAACAACAACTGTTTCAAGAGCAGCAGGCCTATCAGGAGACATTGTTCAAAGAAAGACAAGCTTATGAGGAGCAGAAAGCATACGAGGAGCAAAAAGCTTTTGAAGAGCAACAACTGCACCAGGAGCAACAAGCCTACCAAGAAAGACAAGCATACGAACAGCGTCAAGCCTACCAGGAACAAAAAGTATACGAACAGCGCCAGGCCTACAAGGAGCAAAAGGCATTTGAAGAGCTTCAAGCCTATCAGGAGCGCAAAGCTTACAAGGAGCAAAAGGCTTTTGAGGAGCGTCATGCCTACGAGGAGCAGCAAGCCTATCAAGAGCAACAGATGCAACAGATGCAACAGATCTACCAGAGTCACCACTCGATGCCTACCCAGCCAACACAGCAAAAAGCCCAGTCACCACTTCCTCACCAATCCTTACCCCTACTCCCTTCTCCAGACTCTACCCTTCACCATGCCAACCATCCTCTCTATATGATGCGACAAGCACAGCAGCAGCAGGCCCACCCGGGTCATCACCACCGACGTCTGTCTCGTTCAGCTCCTCCTCCACACCAACCGCCACCCCAACCGTCACCCCAACCGTCACCCCAACCGACGGCTCACCCAGGCCAACAAGCTCAGTATGCTGAGGGAATCTACCAAAGCCACCAGGGCCTAAGAACCCATCCCCACCATTCTTCAGCTGAGATGCTCCACCAGATGCATCAAGCCCCAGCCCATCACTCCTCTGCTGAGATGCTCAACCAGTTGCAACAATCTCAGGGCCACCACTCATCTACTGAGATGCTCCAGCAGATGCAGCAAGCCCATGCCCACTACTCCTCCTCAGAAATGCTCCACCAAATACACAAAACCAAGGGACATCATTCTTCAACAGAGTTACTGAACCAAGCTCACCAAATGCAGCAAATACAGCCTCACCACTCCTCAACAGAACTTCTCCATCAAGCTCATCAGATGCATAGGGGTCAACCACACCATTCCTCCACTGAGCTGCTCCATCAAATGCACAAGGCCCAGGCCCACCACTCCTCCACAGAGCTGCTCCATCAAGCCCATCAGATGCATCAACCCATGCCCCATCACTCCTCAACAGAGGTTCTACATCAAGCCCAGCAGGAGCCTGGCTCCCTTCCTGTTCAGCTAAAACGAGACAGTCACTCACACCAGAGCCGCAGAAGTCTTAAAGGTCATCATCAAACCCAAGTGTCCCCTCAAGGGAGACACCAAGAGCAGCAGATCCACCAAACCCATCACCCCCAACCCACCAAACCCTCTCCCCAGAGACCCCACTCTATCCAGCAGACCCACCACCACTCTAGCACACCTCAGATTCACCACATCCACCATATAACCCCACAGCCCCCTCCGCAGGACTACCAACACCAGATTCATGTCATCCACCCTCCACAGCAGACCCACAGGCCCCAGCCTCTTCTTTCTACCTTTCAGCCCCTCCAGCCCCATCAAACCACCCTGTCCACATTCCAGCCTCTTCCCCAACACCACAAGCTGCAGCACCAAGTCCAGTCCTCCACCCAAGCCACTCGCCCACAGTCTCAACCCTCGCATCACCTGCTGCAGTCCCAAAACCAGCCACAATCCCAGTCATCCCACCATATACAATCCCATGGCCAGGGTCAGCCCCAGTCCCTCCCGCACTCTCTGTCAGATCCCACGGAGCACCTGGAGCCCCCTCCTCCTCCGCCCCTACCCCCACCTTGCTCTCCTCCACCACTGCCAAGGCCTAGTCTGTCTAGAATGGATTCCAACCACATGAGTGTGAAGCGGTTACGCTGGGAGCAAGTGGAGAATTCAGAGGGGACTATCTGGGGACAGGTGAGTTGTGTGGGGTTTGGACATGAGGAGCCAAGTATATGGTAAAGTTAAGTCATGAAATTGTCATTTACATTGCATCATTTTTGCATATCTTTGGTAGTTGGGAGCAAATTCTGATTATGATAAACTGCATGACATGGTAAAGTATCTCGATCTGGAGCTGCACTTTGGGACACAGAAGAGCTCCAGTAAGTACAAGTGGCTTTATTCATAGCATATTAATAACTGTTTGATTTGACAGAATGACACATCTTATCTTTATAGCACATTGTCTTACTTTTAAAAACTAACTTACCAACCTTAAAAGAATCATAATTTCCTAGCTCTTATTTCAATGTTTTATTTCTTTAATTTTCCTTATAGTTCAACTATAGTTTGTGGGATCTAAGGTTATTCTCCAATAGCACTCCTTGAAGTTTGACCTCCAGAAACCAATGTCAAAATGGAAAATGTGCATCTACGATGTATCTGTGTAATATTTAGCATTTTACGAACACTGACCCCACTTTAGTGCCTGCTCCAGAACCATCTCTCCTGCCAGAAACCTTCAAGAAGAAAGATGTGATAGAAATTCTGTCCCATAAGAAGGCTTACAATGCCTGTAAGTATAACATTTTATATTATTGGTGGCCATGGTTTTATACTTCATGAGTGCTTATTTATACTGAAATAACTCAACAAGTATCGGATGGATAACCAAGACATTCACAGACTCCATTTCATCTGGTCTCCTACAGTCTAAAGAAAAGCATTTTGGTTAGGTTGATTGGAGACTCTAAATTGGCCATAGGTGTGAATAGAGTCCCCCCTCTGCGACCCTCAAAGGGTAGGGGTATAGTTAATGGATGGATGTTGACAACTATTGCTGTGAAAATTTATAATACTCAGAGGCCCTTCACCAAGCACCATCAGTAGATTTCTGTTCATCCAATACAACTGTATTTGATTTTATGACTAAAGTAAAAGGAAGGATATTCTTACCTGCCTCAGCTGCAATGTGTGGAGTTGTAATACTGACGGAAGAATAAACTAAGAAGATGAACAATATACCAGCATTTAGATCCCAATTTATCCTAAGTTTTTAAACCTTTGTTTCTTTAACCTCCAGCCATCCTGATAGCCCACCTGAAGCTGTCTCCTGCAGAGCTGCGTCAGGTGCTGATGAACATGGCCACTGATAGGCTGGAGCCGTCGCACATCAAACAGCTGCTGCTGTACGCCCCCGACACAGAGGAGGTCAAAAAGTACGAAGAGTACAGACAGGACCCCAGCAAACTCAGTGAGCCAGACCAGTTTGTGTTGCAGGTACAGTCCTGACAGGGTAGTGGATCGAGTCATTGTGTGGGAGACGTCAGCCTCTGTCATTGTCCGTGTTTTTTATCATCACTGGCTTATTTGCTTATTCTGTGTGTGTAATTTCCTTCAGATGTTGTCAGTACCAGAGTACAAGACGCGCCTGGAGAGCCTCCTCTTCAAGTGTTCCCTGCAGGAGAAGACCGAGGAGTTGAGGGGAGCGTTCGACTGTATCAGCAGGGCCTCCATGGAGCTGAAGACCAGCAAGAAGCTAGCGAAGATACTGGAGGTAAAGTACTGTTTGGAAAAGTATATGAAATTAATAGAAATAAATACCTGTTTATAACTGACTTTGTGTGGTGGTGTGCTGATGCTGTAAAAATGCTGCATTTGCAATTCTGTGTGATAGTGATAAGGAATATGGTGTTTGTTATCAGATCTGAAGAACAGTAAAACATTCACTAACCTACAGTACATTTACATTTTCCCCTGAGCTGGAACTAGACAGTCTATCTTTTTTTTTTCCCAGGATTTTTCACTTAAATTGGAATAAAAATTTAAAAAAATCTTGCAAAACACTGAATTCGGTTAAGCTCAAACATGAATGGATTGTTTGGCAGAGTAACGGTTCTCTCTCTGTCGTTCTTCAGTTTGTGCTGGCGATGGGAAACTACTTGAATAACAGCCAGCCGAAAACCAACAAGACCACTGGCTTCAAGATCAACTTCCTTACAGAGGTGCGTCATGCAAAGTAATCGTTCTTTTCTTTCCCATCATACCACACTGGTGCAGTTAATACATTCAGTGTTTTCTCTACAGTTGAGCACAACTAAAACTGTTGATGGGAAGTCGACATTTTTGCACATTCTGGTCAAGTCGTTGTGTCAACACTTTCCTGAAGTGTTGGATTTTTCCAAAGATCTAACAATGGTTCCACCTGCAGCCAAAGGTTTGATTTGTCTTTAAGCTCAGAGCAAACTGTACATTTATTAATGTGTTAATCATATAAGTTACTGATATAAAATCTGTTTTACACACTCACACATCTACAGTAAACCAGAGGACGATTGCATCAGATCTAAATGACCTTCATGCAACCATCCAAGACATTCGCTCAGCCTGTCAGAAGATGCCTGCGACTGCTGATGACCGTTTTGCTGTTGTCATGAGTGTATCCTTCACAAAATGGACTCATTTCAAGATAGGAAGTTAAAAAAAAATCATAAGGTAGCAGAAGAGGTGATGAAACATTTGTGGCCCTTGACTTCACTGCGTGTGCACAGAACTTTTTGGAAAACAGTCACCCAGCGATTCAATCTCTGGAGTCCCTGCAACAGAGAGCAATGGAAGAATTCAGCAAAACTGCGTCCTACTTTGGAGAAGACGGCAAAGCCACCAACACCGAAGGCTTCTTTGGGATCTTTGCGGAGTTCATGAACAAATTTGAGGTGAGGGAGGAATATTCGGCCGTCCATTTCAATATTTTAACAATTCCTGTTGTCGCCTCTTCAATATTACAGTAAGAATTAAATGTTATTGTCTTCCTTGGCTCCCTCTCTGACTTCAACAAACTAAAAAAACATATTCTCTTTGATGCAATCCTGTTGGTTCTTTACCACAGAGAGCTCTGAGTGATCATCAGGCTGCAGAAAACCAGAAGAGTCCTCGGAGTCCACGAATGGCCTCCCCACTGGCCTGGTAACACACACACACACAGTATACACATTCTGTACACTGCACAAATACACACACATACACAACACTCAATGCACATTTTTGAGCAATAAAATACAGTGTATAATATATGTATGTACTTTTGGTAACATTCAGTGAGACAGTATGTCTTTGCATCAAATATGGACAATATTGCATTATACCAGTGGTGCAGTGTATGTGTCCTTTTCATAATAAGTTTTATTGTAGTCTAAAGCTTTAAGACTTTTACATAGAACACAACGTTGTTTGGCTGTCAAAATATCTGTACTGTTAAAAAGATACAGTTCCGATAAAGTTTTCTTTCTATAATGGTCACCTCTGTAAGTGCTGTATAAAAATTCTAAAGTGTAAAACTTTATGATAGATCCTTAAATAAGATGATTTATGAAAATTAAATTGTATCCTGAAATAGATGTTTACTTCAAATATACCCACGTACAGTCGTTTGTTTGGACGAATCCACAGATGCAGTTTCCCTATTAGTGAACTGTATTTTGTACGAAGCCCACCACCCTGAATGTAACGTAGGTTCTTTACTGATTAACCGTAGACTATTTTCTCGAGTAAATAATCAATTACATCCCAATGATAGATTGTTTAATGTGCTGTATCATGTTTATACCGCCACTTATAAGGATTTTCTTACTGCAACAGGTGTAGCTTTAATAACTTTCTATTCCTAAATGGTTTTGCTCTTGTATGATACCGCCAATGCTACAAACGTGTACATATGAGACAATGTCAGTGGGATGTTGGCACTTACTTCTTGAGACAATTTCAACTGTCGTAAGGATCCTTTTTATTTTTTTTTATTCCCGTCAGTCACTGATAAGAAGAGGTGGGATCATGTGGCGCCCACAGTGGGCAGTGTGCAATATGTTTCTAGCTGTTCTCTGCTGTTCTACTCCTTTGACTGTAACAGCAATACCTTGTATTTGCACTGTACAGAATGAGAGAGAATGTATTGAAAACGTATGCTACCATATATGACGAACTTCTGTGTATTAACCAAAATATTTATTTCATTGTGTTACGCTGTACAGACTGAGCAGAGTGATTAGTTTAGCGTAAGAGATGCAGAATCATGGATAGTTCTCAACTAATGATGCAGAGTCACATCTCAGTTATACATCAGTGATTTGTAAAAGTCTATAGGTGATATTTTAAATTGTTAAGGTTAATCAGTGCAGCTAGTGAAAGCTCTGTTTTCTTATATAAGTTGTCTTCACAGAACATCTAAGGCCTATAAAGTGTTATGAAAGTCTATAAAGTCAGTATTTTTTATTTTTAAATATAGAGTCGTATCAAATCTATCTCTGTGTCTGTGTGAGAAAAATGCTCTGTAATAGTGCTGTTATGCCAAATGTCTTACAGGGAAATGTGCTGTACAGTACAAAGGTAACGGCATTAAAAGGCCTCGTCGTCTTGTTTTCCTACGTCTGCTTCGACTCTCATTACAACTTCCCGCTGACACACCCACTGCTGCTGCAATGTCTCAGATGAGCGTTTGTTTTCATGAGGCAAGCTTGTAAATCTGTACCTGTACGTCTCCGCTCCGCACACAGACCCTGGCCTTGCACTTACCCAGCTCCATACTAATTTCAAACTGATTAAGCTCTTCCTTCGGGAGCAGGGGCGTGTTGTGTGGTTGACTGAGGAGAGTAATAAATCCCTTACATTTTAACTAAACCTTGTGGTTCGAGACGTGAAGGTGGAGTTTGATCCTTCAGCGAGTGGAGGAAGCTTCAACAAACAAGCGTGAGATTCCTGGGTTCTCAGATAATTTGTGACATGCTTTGTTGTTTCGGGAAAACAACCCAGCTCAGGACAGTCCAGCTGGAATGATAAGACTGTGAAGCCACTTGCTGAAAGGTGAGTTTAATCTAATCTCTGTCATTTTTTAAATGTTACCCAGAGAAGTTCATTTTTAATATGCTTAGTGTTTTTTTTGTCTGCTGTGATTGTCCCTCGTGTTCGTATTGTTCATTCAAAGATCCACTTTATAGAAGGCTCACATGTGATGGGGGACTAAATCTGTTTGCTTATTTTAAATCGATTTTTTATCAGGCATAATAGAAGTAACTCCATATGTTCTAACAGAAACGTTTTCTTGATTTTATCTGGACGACTGTCTATCTATTATATTTCTATCATTTTATTTTATTTGTTGTCTTGCTTATTGTGTAACTGGGTTTTGAAGTGGAGAGGATTTGTTCATGTGTGTCTGCCCACACATATTCTGCTGGGTAATAATAAGATAATCATATGTTGTGTCAGTTCCGTAAAACTAACTGTCTGTCATTAAATACTGTAATGAAGGGTTAGAAAGTAGCATATAAAAGAAATACATGTACCTCAAACAATTACATTTAATTTGTTTTTACTCTTCTATTTGATTATGGTATCAAGAGTCCAGGGTGACGTGTTTGATGGGGCAGTAATTACCTGCAACCGTTTATTGTGTTTCTAATTATAGATAATCTGTAACAGTACATATCATGAGCTATTGATTTCTTAGTCTCCAGATGAGTATCTTTGTAGCGGGAGACCGAGCAACCAGCATGACCCCATCACCCTCTCCGTCGCCCTCTCCTGGGGCCACAACTACTCTGTCTGCTGTGGATATAGTGGTGCTGGTGATCTACTTCTTGCTAGTGCTTGCTGTGGGATTCTGGGTAAGAGCAGGGGGGAAAGATGTGGTTCACTGCTTCAATACTGATTCTAAACATCAGCTGTTTCCTGTCAGACAAACGAAAACGAAAGCAATCCATGTTTTTGTTTTATTTAAATGTGTTTTTTGCTTGAAATCCAAATGCACAGATTTGTCTCTAATAACTCTCTCTAATAACTCTAATAACAAATGTTGTTGGTCACCCAAGTGACAGATTATTTTATAGAGACCAAACTGAGAACATCCTTTCATTTAGTCGTGGATCCCGTAGCATCCCAGGCTGTATGAATGATGTTTCACGTGTATCTCTAAGAGGTTTGTCTTTTCCTTTTTCTACCAGTCAATGTGGAGGACGAAGCGCAGCACAGTGGATGGATACTTCCTGGCTGGGAAGAGCATGACCTGGTGGCCGGTGAGTCAAACATCAGAGAAACACCCACAGAACACAGACTTTGAAGTGAAGCATGTTTTTATCACTGGAACCTCCATCTCTAATAGTTCACTCTTAGACAGAGGCCAAATGTTGTGTAGTAGTAATTGCAGCACAGGGTTGATCCTGACTCTGCTGTGTTTTCAGGTGGGGGCCTCCCTGTTTGCCAGCAACATTGGCAGTGGACATTTCATTGGCCTGGCAGGGTCCGGAGCTGCAGCGGGGATTGGAGCAATTGCTTATGAATGGAATGTAAGAGCCTGCACATCATCTCCTTAAATACACATTAACATATGTGCAACCAAGTATATGATATAAATTTTGTTTAGTGTGTTAAAATGTTCATATATCTGGTGATCACCAGGGTATGCTGATGGTGCTGCTGCTGGGATGGCTCTTCCTGCCCATTTATATTGCCTCTGGGGTGAGGTGTCTACGCAGACAGATAATTATCCCACATGTAACACGTGCACATGCATGATTTAGCTCGATTATAATTTTTTTTTTTTTTTTCTAGGTAACAACAATGCCAGAATACTTGCAGCGGCGCTTTGGTGGTCGAAGAACACAGTTATTCATAGCTGTCCTGTCCTTGTTTATTTACATTTTCACAAAGATATCGGTAAGAGACAAATGCACAATAATGCTCTTTTGCTTTCTATGCTCACGCATGTTTTTCAAGCTTCTCTACACTGTGTAAAGAACAAATCCTGTGGTGTGTGTGTGTGCGTGCTTCTCTCCAGGTGGACATGTATGCTGGTGCATTGTTTATACAGCTTGCTTTGCAGTGGGATATCTACGTGGCTATAGTGCTGCTGCTGTCAGTCACTGCTCTCTACACTGTAGCAGGTGACCATTCTACTTCCTTTGCCACTTTAAGTCACCTGCTATGACATAAGAGTACTTGTTTATCGCTGGCTGCATGTGTTGTGTGTTGTGTCCCAGGTGGTCTGGCTGCAGTCATCTACACAGACGCTGCTCAAACTGCCATCATGCTGGCAGGAGCTCTCACCCTCATGGGCTTCAGTAAGTCACCATCCACCCCAGACCCTCCCACCTGCAGCACTTTACCTCCCTTTATAAATGTTGTCCCCTTTTTGAGGCTTTGCCGAGGTCGGGGGCTGGAATGCTCTGATGGAGGGATATGCCCACGCCATCCCTTCTATCCGCGTGCCGAACTCGACCTGTGGAATCCCCCGAGACGACGCGTTCCACATCTTCAGAGACCCGGTGAACTCTGACCTGCCTTGGCCTGGGGTCATCATCGGCATGTCCGTCCCGTCCATGTGGTACTGGTGCTCTGATCAGGTAATAATCGCCAAAAATAATAATACTATAGATGTGGTAGATATTGTCCAAATATTATATAAACGAGTAAAATC